ATTCTGACAGCTTCGATGTCAACGAATCTGGTCGATCGATCGTGGCGGGCATTTTCGCTGGATTTGAAAAATAGTTGGAATTACCCTTCTTTAAGAAATTGCTTGTTCAATCGACCACAGAAAGCTTGATCATAGACACCCACTGTGCTTGATATGCCTTCTCTGTGGTGAGTTGCATCGTTCTTTGTTCAAACATCTGTCCCGCGCTCAAGAGCTTGTCTTCGAACGGGACGTGGAAACAAGAACGTTTACACTCTTCAAACTTCTTTGAATAACACTTGGCCGTTGAACAGCGGAACAAACGATTCCGTACAAGTTGTGCGACGAAACAGTTTGGTAAGTCTACTTTATATAACTGCAATGATCTGCCTTTTCAGGTATATGTACACAAGTTGGGTGCTGTTTTCTTGATAGAAGTTTGTGTAGATTTTGACTTGGTGGTCTTTTCTGCTTCAATTAGCGCTAACATGCTAATTCACTTGGAAAGTAAATAGCTTGCTTGAGAAGCTAGGTATGTACGTTTCATTCGTAATCGAAATATTCTAGAATGATAAATCGAAAACTTGATTCAGGAACTGATCGCAACTACTTCACACGATTACCAGTTGAATCGAACACCTAATCGAATTGTTGTATCATATTTCAGCTGCGGTGAAGAGCAGCTTACCTTACACCGCTCATAGACCGATTGTTGAACAAGGGATAGTTTCTGTGTAAATTGGTGAATGAAAAAGTAACTAAACAAGGGGGAGATTTTGACACTTCTTTGTTGTAGTTTTGAAGGGTTTTTTCTCGTTTTCGTATTCTAAGCTTCACGAAAAACACGATCATGCTCAAGCAAAATCTACGCACTTCTGGTTATATCACGCGGTGATCGTATTTCAAAAACGCGGGAGTTGAAGTAGAACTCTACGTTTTTTCGTCAGATCATGCAGTGGCTGACTTAGAGCTCTGTTTTGGTGCTGTGGTTAACCGTTTAGGTAGAAATCAGCAGAAAGGATAAGATAAACTTGCTTAATATTTCAACACAAATTAAACTAGAAACAAATAAACTTTGACAAGCTGGCGTATTATATTTAACTCGCCATGAATAATTCAGTAGCGTCCGTAGCCAGGGAACAATTTACTTATTCCTGTGGGGACATATGGAGCGCTTTCAAAACATCAACGTTGGAAATATAAATTTAAAGTTAGCTCAGGAAATTGAGTTGCTTCAGAATTGTACATCTCTTTATGAAAGTTTCAATGTAGAGCTACTCTTGTTCTAATAGTTTACTGTTTGTGTAATGCAGTGAAAAATTAATAACGTTTAATTATTTTGGCTCTTAACCAAGTCATTATCAATTTGATCTAGTTCTTTGTCTACAGTCCATTGTTATGCATGAAGATATGATTATGATTTCTTCAGGACACTGGAATGCAGACAATTGCTTCGCAGTTCATTGCTAGACAGCAATTGATGCATATGCAAATTTCTTTTCAAATTGCTGTTTAATTGTCAATGCTGGTGCAAAACTAAGCTCAGTGTCAATGCAACAAGGTGTTATTGATACAATTATATTGAAATCGATCCTAGGGATTTTGTTATGGATAAAATTAATCATTGTAAATGGCTGTTGTATGTGGTTTGATTAGATGCCTCACTAGCAAGTACATTGGGACAAGGCATATAGAAATTAAAAGGCTAATTAAATACAGTATGTATATTTTGTCAATATATGTATTACCTATCAGTAAAATTAATGTGTACTGGTCATGATCACTCAAGCATTTCACTCTTTCAATACACTTTCTTGACTGCATAACCCTTTGAATAACCTATGCAAAGTTTTGAGTTGACACTTGTCACATATTTGGTTGAGATAGAGAGTTGAGAATTGAATGAGTGTGAAGTAAAATTGACTAACCCTCAAATATATAATTTAACTTAGTGTGCTCATTTTGCCATTATTAATTTTAGCCTTGTGTGACTTTTTCTTTCAAAATTTGCAGATGTTTCTGTTGGAAGAAAAACATGGATGCAGATACCAGTGGACATTCTGATAATTCAATATGCAGTGATGATACTGAATATCTCTTAGGACAGAATGTCTCCATCAGGGAAATTGATGATGACGACGATATTCAAACCCATGAAAGAACAAGAGCTCCTTCATCCATTGGTAGATCATACCACTCATCGCCTCAACATTCACCTCAAAAATTACAACAAATAAATTCAGCTAATTTAAGATCTCCACAAAGAAAGGTTGTGAATGTTAAACCAGGAAAAGGCCCAGGTGGGTCACAAAGATCACCGGGTCACAGCACCGCAAGGCAAGTGGAGAAGATGCATTCAAGTAAAGTTACAGCAAAGGGGGATGGGAAGTCACAAACACAACAGAATTATGCTACTGGAGATCTTTTGAGAGGACAAAGCCAAAAAGTCCAGAGTAATTATGGAACAGACACCGTAAGGTACAATCAAGATGTTGAAAGAATGCCAAAAAGTAAAAAACAAGTTTCAGAGAGCTTCCTGTATGCTAAGCACCCAGATGGTCCAAGTAAATTTCAGTCACCAGAGGGTAATAAGTCGATTCATACATATCAAAAAACCATTGGAAGTCCTAAAATGAAGCATGAATTACCTTATGATACATCTCAGTTGACTCCTCCTACGAGGGACAAGGTGAATTCTAAAAGGAAACATGTTGAACCTGGCAGGTCACCAGTGCGGGAAAGTGTCCTGCCGGTTAATCAAAATAATTGGGAGATTGACTCCGAGATATCTGTGGACATGGTAAATGGTGGCCATAATTCTGTAGAAATTGAATCAAATGACTTGGAAAGTGAAATGTCTGAGGCAACAGAAGACCTGATCAGAAGAGAGGTTGATCATGAGGAGGATGAGGATTTCACTGCAAAACTCAAGGAGCTTAATCTGGCTGTTAATTTTGATGCTGGCACAAATGGTGAGTATTATTCAGTAAACATAATATTATAATATAATGATAGTTAACTAATAATAATTTGTTCCACTTCCCTTTCAACTGATAAAATTGTAAAATATAGTAAATTGTGTGCTTTAAGTCTATTCAACATTCCATGGAGCAGAGCCTTATTTACAAATATCTATTAGCTGTGCACATTTATATTGCACTGAGTAGCTTGACTGAGGCAAGTAATTTAGAAACTGGGCTACTGAATGTTTACAATGATCTGAATATATCAGACAGTATTATAAATGTGGTCCTGATCTTGTAGAAGTCTAAAGTGACTGGTGGATATACAGGGGGGGTGGGGGATAACCCTGGGATTGACCAGCATCCCATTCAGGAGGGAGTAGAAATGCTCCTAGTTGCTTCCTGCTGCAGAAACTATAGTTGCTCGGAGATAAGTGCTGGCTTGATGGGTAGACCTTACCTTAACATTACTTTACCTAGCTAGGTGGATATTCATGCCATGAATAATAGGTTTGAAGTAGGTGGCTTGAGTAACACTGTCTCATAATAATGGCAATTCAAAACGGAGTAACCCACCAGAGCTTTTGCAAGTGCTGGAACTTATTGGAAGTACTCTGATGCAATTACATTATGTCTATTCTTGGTTATTTAATTTTAAGTCTATTCCTATGTAGTCCCTTAGTAACCAATGTTTACTTTGTGATTTTCCTGTTCAGAGTATTTTGATGACAAAGTAAGAGAAGGAGCAGAACTTTTGTCTAAGCTGTTTGGAGGCCAAATGGATAATTACTACAGCTCCTCTAGGTAAGGATGAGAAAGGTTCAACAGCACATGGCTGAAACTTGGCTTTCTAACACAAAACACAAGAAAAACTGATAGGCTGTGTAGCTGATATGTATGTGAGTGAACATGATGGTCACCAAAGCAGAATTGGCTGAAATTATAGTGGTCTGCAGTAATCACCAGTCATCTTGACCCATCCTATAAAATGTCATCTATTTACGATACAGTGAGAGTTGCGTTGGCCTCCTGGTTAGTGCGCTCAACTCCGTGGCGAGTGGTCCAGGTTTGAGCCTTGGCCGGGGATATTGTGTTGTGTTCTTGGGCAAGACACTTAACTCTCACAGTGCCTCTCTCCATGACTGGAAAACTGCCTACATGGACATGCATAGCTTTGTAAAAGAATTTCCTTCAACTACTGTGTGCACTTGTAAGGAATCAGAATCGGTATTATGTATATCATAACCTTTAAATAACAACTTTGCCAGCTTGTTTGCTAATGCAGGATGTGTAGACTGAACACGTAGCTAATATACATCTTTCATGTTTTTTTGTGCTAACTTCTTAACACTCCCAGAAATGAACTAACTTTGTCAACTAACACTTGCATATATAACATTAGAATGACACGAAAACCGCTGTGGAAGCTTCAAGTTAGGTAAGAAGGCTAATAAGTACACATTAATGTTTGGCATAACAACTTACACTAATCCTGCAGTGTCCCATGCATATTCAACCTGAGATCGATGTTAACATAATTATTAGTGAAGAACAACTGGGCAGATATGTTTAGGGGAGCTCGCCTGCAACCCATGTTGGGTTAGCATCCCAACCAGGCGAAGTTACTCCTAATCATGTCATGCTGCAGGAATGGAAATCGTGGGTGTCGG